TTAAAAGAAATATTTGTGGCGGCACGCGACAGTAAATATTCCAACGGTTTCTGTCCCGTGGCTCGCCACACGCAGACCTTATTCTTCGAGCAAGATGATTACCAGATGTCGATGCGTCTCCGCAGAACATGTTCAGCTAGCCTGAGCTAGTCCTTCAAACACACAGTCTTTGTCCCAACTACGGGAAGATAGGGGAGATCTATTTTTTTCAACGAACGACGTCCCCCACTAGCAACTTTTCCTCAAGTGCGGTTAGCGTCTTTTTCTAACTACCGATATGGAGATTGACCAATTAGCAGCAACGTCAATTTCCCTTACTTTCCGAACGAAGGCTATTCCCGACGAATCCGATGATCTCGTGTCCTTAAACACACCCCATCATAGTTTTCCTCTGTGGCATCATCGGGACGGAAAGTCATTCTTTCTTGCGGTCCCATCGACGAATAGAGTAACACCTTACGATCAGTGAATATTACGCGTCCGACTTAGATTTTGTGAGCACGTTCACCTATCATCCCGCCGACAGCGGATTCGTTATTGAACCTAGGATCATTGTCATTAGTTTCTCGAGTATCTAATTACCACGGTTACTTGCCTAGTACTGATAATCATATTTGCGCTAGTCAATGTCTTCTCTATCGCATGACGACAATGTGTAATCCAAAGGGAGATTCGTTTCACGCCCCTAACCCTAATTCTAAGGTAAACCCGACATATATATCTCAGGCTGCATATTAATGTCATATTAAATATTTGTTTGCAGTAAACTCTTTGTAACTTCATACATATATTTTTTTAAATTAGTTTCAGATGTTACCAATATGTCCCTTTACAATGTTAATGAAATTCTAAAATGTTTCGCATAATACGTAGAATACATACAGAAATTATGCATGATTTAGCTTATGTGACCAATTAGTTTCGGCATTTTTTAAAGTAATACGGTAGCACCACTAACACTAAGAAAAATATTAGTATTAATCATGACAAGAGGTTGAATATTCATACACACATTAATCTCGTTGCAAAGTATTAACCTGGAATGTGGGCTGTGGGAGTAGAACAGCTTTAAGTACGAAGCTCGCGGTACTTTTTTGCGGAGAGAAGACGGATGGAAGACAAAACGTATGTTGGATATTCGTGGCTGGATGATGAAGATAACGAGTTCAAAATCTGCAGTTCACTTTGATATTCAGCTATACTTTATCCTTTTACGTCTCATGGCCAAAAAGCTTTCCCATGCTTTTAATTATTCAAATTGGTTCACGGTATATCCATACTATAGTATCTATTCTTTTTAAGTCAATTTTTATTAATTGTAATTGACCTTTCAGACAAAATAGCTTCGAGAATAATACTTCGAAATGTTCTTTTCTTTTTTTGTGAAAGGTTGTTAAGGTATACATTAGAGGCACAGACTTAACAGGGAGGAATGAATAATTAAATCGTCATTCCGTTTTACGAGGGTCATGATAGCAGCAAGTACGCATTATTTACGAGCGTCATTCCGATAAATTTTTATGGCTGAAAGGAAGTAGGAGTATACACGTCAACTTCAATCATTTAACAAACTTTACTGCCATTCTTCGCTTGTCAGTCGTACATACAGTTGTTTAATATCGATGCCATTTTTCATTTTACTATGAACAAAACGACGATAGAAAAAAAGTATCTGAAAGTAGTGAAGACATGCAGTATGATCGCTGGAATTTGGTCTGATCAGAGTAAAGTTTCGAAACTGTTCACACGAATAATTATATATATCATTAGTGTGTTATCTCTTGTTACACAGGTACGTAAATATTAATTTATAATCAAAGTACTCTATAGAAACTTTGGTTTATTGATGCATATTTATGTACCTACTATGCTAATAAACGCACTGCATTAGTAATCATACACAAGCATTGTGACGTTCCCCGAATTTTTCGCAAAATTCTAAATTTTTTTAATGCATTATGTACAGTGAATTCCCAAAATATTCGCACATTAACGCACATTTGATTCTGACGTGTTATATCTCTGTTAATAAATTTGCAAATGTTCTTATTGATAGATCATTTGTTGTATTAGGTTATTCTAGAAGTTTCTTTCGTTTTATAAGGATATAACAGGTGTCTTTCTGTTTTATATTATATTATTGAATTATGTACGATCATTTTGTTCTATTGAAACAATAGAAACATAATTCAATAAAATAATATAAAACAAAAAATGTTGTGCATCTATTATTTTCTTATAAAACGAAAAAAACTTTTGGGATAAGCTAATACTTTGAAATCTGGATGAAGTTTTTTAGTTAACATAATATAATTAAACAATATTAGAAATTAAGAGAGATCGTATTCAATTTAAGCGCGACAAAAACGTTCAGACACATCGCAATTTTCTTTCGCAATTTTCTTGAAAGCGTTTGACTCGAAACATAGTGTTTCTTTATAAACGGGTTTCATCAAGTTTGTTATTGTGTAGTCAATTGGTATACCGACTTTGCGTGAAGACAAGAATATTTCGTTCGATCTCCGGACTGAACCTGTCGTATCTCATCGCGAGAAAATTGTTAATGTGCTTAATTGAAAAAAGGGCACCGTAGCAGATATTGTCAGAAGATTAGAAAAGAAAAGATAGATTTAGCTCAATTCCCAGAAGTGCTCAGCCACGAATAAATAAATAATAAATATAAATATTAAACGACCAAGAGAAACGGAAATTCTGCGGAAAATAAAAAGGAACGAGATCTCTGACAACAGCTGTGGAATTTTGAGAAGACAGTTGAGATGTATAACATGTAGACTTGTTTGATAAAGAAACGAGTAGATGAATTAGTAGTAGTCAGATGTATTAAAATAAGTATAAGTTCAAGTACAGAGATAGTGTACTACTATACCAATCAAAGAAAGAATAATCATCTCATAGGGAACACGTTCATACGGCATTATTTCGGCAGACATTTACGGCTCGAATGAATGAAACATAGTGTGATCTGACCGGGATACAGCATTGAATTCAAAAAAATTTAATCCACTTTTAAATTTATTGGTGGATGTTATGGTCTGCTACTGTATTTTGAGCGGGGTCTGAGAATCTCGTTTTTATTGAAGGTATCATGGACAAAATTAAACATTAGTATTTTTTAAGGGAAGTTTATTGCAGTGTGTCATTAAAATAGGAATTCAAAGTACATGCTAATTTTATCAGGACAATTATGCCAAACATATTGCTTCATAATTATTTCTTTAATTACTGTAATTACTACATATAACTATTACAATTACTTTATAATTATTCTTAAGTCGTACACTCTTTAGTCCCCAGATTTTAATCCAATAGAAAATTTATAATTTAAATTGTAGAATGAAATATCAATAACAAGCAGAAAAGAACTGAGAAAAGATCGCAAAACAAATGAGAAAAAATAAATGCAGAATATTTTAGAAAAATCATATTTAATATTATGATTAAAATTATTATTATTGATTATTAGAAGGTTATTAGAAGATTATTAAAAGGTCGTTACGACTGTTAGTATAATTAGATTATGAAACGATTAAAATGTGTAATAAAATAAAAAGGCTATGTTACTAAATATTAGAACTATGAACATTGGTTATTTAAAAATTCATTTAATTCTTTCTATTCACTTCAAAACAATTTCGAATTTACTCTCACCAAAATTAAGAATGATATGAAACGTGAAAATCAAATATGCGTTAGTACTTGAATATTTTTTGGATTGACAATGTTTATTAGTGCGAGAATTTCCTTTTTGTTAAATTAATCGATCATTGATTGCAGATGGCAAACGTAATATGTTTCTTTAGTCTAAATACCCTAATACAGCAGGTATGTTTTTTTAATGCGGTAGTCGGGGCACTGATAAAGCAAGGGAATTACATTATCAACGCTGCAGAGGTAAAGGACATGCTTGTTTCATTTTACATTTTCTATTACTATTCTATCATATTACGTTTTATATAAAAACCACATGGTGAAATATAGTAAGTTGATTCTTGTTGAGTTTCCCACTTTCACGTCACTCAGAGATTACAAAGAAGGATTTTGGTATGAAACATTTGACGAAGTGTATAGATTCGAAGTTATAAGCGTTATGAAAATGATGGCGATAAATCCAAAATATTCTTTAAGAAATACCATTATTTAAACACGATTAATATTAGTCTGTATATCCGTTTAATGTGCGCTAGCAAATATATTGCTGTATAGAAAAGACGAGAAGTACGACCTATCGAGTTTTTCATATCCTTATATATATCTTTTGATTGCAAAAGATTGATTACATTGCAGTACAAGATGTTATTTAACGCTGTTTGGAAGGATTGGTCAACCGATAGACTAAATGATGAATTGGATATTATGATCGAGTATGCCAAAAAGGGAGCATTCTTTTCCTGGTTATATTTCGGTAGGATAAATCTTACCGAAAATTCGTCTTTTTATCTATTATAATTATAATTCATTTTACACATCGCTGCAATCAATTTACAGGAGTTTGCATTTGCTGTGCTATAAGTTTTCTTCAATTATCTTTAACGCCATTTGTTTTGGATATAATTTCACCAATGAACGAAACGCGAGATTTATTGTACATTTTTCCAGCTTACTATTATGTCAATGACCAAATGCATCGTACGTTTATAAGCTTCCATATGATGTGTACGATTATTTCAACATGTCTCGTGTATATTGGATGCGATACGAGTTACATGTACATTGTGCAACACGCTTGTGGTCAGTTAGCAGTGGCTAGGTAAAAAAAAAAAAGAAATATCACTTCGATCAAATAATTCTAGTTTGGAATTGCAAAGAACATAAATTTTTTCTCAGACATCGTTTCAAGAATGCGATTTTTGATTTTTCTATTGTCAGTGAAACGAGTGTTGTGCAGGATAAGATTTACGAAAGAGTGGTTCATTCGATTCGAGGACATCAATATGCTACAAAGTCAGTACTACAATTGCCAAAATATTTCTTAGCTAACTATTTTTAGCTTATTTCTTATTCCCTTTAAACATATTCCCAATAATCTTATTTTTTAAAAAGCGGGTTGCACCACCGTTTAAAAGTAATATTCTTACGAATAAAAAGATTTATTTGTTTTATTAAAATATATAATTCAAACGCCATAATGTGACGTATTCGTTTAATTGCTGATAAATAGTATCAATGATTTTATTTCATTAATTGAACATTTACCGTGCTATAGCACAACAATTGCCTAACACGTATTCTTGAAAATTCTCAAACAATATCCAGAATAATCTCAATACTTTTGAGAGAATTTAATTTGTGTACTTGCATGTGACTTACATGTATATTATTGAATTTTTTATCGACGACGATCTACTGGTCCGGTTTTAATGACCTCAAAGCAGTTACCTCAGAACTATTCAAAGCAGTCATTCCGCTTATCTTTTCATCACCGTTGCCTTGGGAATGACAACTCTTAGCGTCACATTAGTAAAGGTGAACTTTTAAATTTAAAAAATCACACTGTTCGACATCAATTCGTAATTATTCGTAATTACTGTTCTTCAAAACAGGTTGCATCGCAAGCGAATATCTCTGGACAACTTATTAAGGATATTGTATTTCTCTTGGCTCAACTGGTACATATATTTTTTTTTTTATTACAAGGACAATTCGTACTGAATGCAAACGATGAATTTGCCGAATCGATGTATGTAATCTGTAAATATGAATAGAATATACGTTGTTCTAAGTACTTTCTTGTAGTTGCAAAACCCATTACACATGTCTGTACTTTTTTTTCTAATTCGCGAGGTTATGAGAATGTCAATTATAAAATTGTCTGGAAATCATTTTTGTTACACTGTTATACGAATAATACGTCGATCTATCAAACCTGCAGGATTTCTTTATTTCTGTTGTGTTGTTGATACTAAAATTATGAACTGAATTAAATCCTTCATTATCATTATCCTAAATGAACGACTTTTTTTATTGAATTAACTTTGTTCACAGATATAATACGTTCTGGTATAATACTAATACGAGAACGAAACTGTTGCTTGTATTAGTACTAAGAAGTTGCTCAAGTGCTCCTAATCTATCAGCTGGAGGGCTGTTAGTGTTCAATTTGAAAAACTTCTCAGAGGCAAGTATCTCTTCTTGAATCCACAATTATTGAGTTGGCAACTAAGTGATTACGGATTTTGTTAATACCACCTAATGACAGAATCCGCAATCACTTAGTTGCCAACCCAATAATGTGGAAGTATTTGAAGAATATCTTTTTTAAATCAATGTACACGACATCGTATTTTTCAGATTCTAAAAACATCTTTTTCATATTTCACCGTACTAAAAACCACGTGAAGTATGTAACGTATCCGACAAAGGCGATGGAATCAAATTCCAGAATGAATAAAGTTTTACGGATGAGATACGCATTTAATCAGGATGTTCTATGCTTTTCAACCACCGAATTCTTTTTATTTTACACCCCTACAGTATAACACTTGGTGAGGAAATGATATGAAATTTCAGAATGTCTAAATAACGGGAATTTGTACCACGTCTGAGTTTAAGGGGGTATTCTAGTCTAGATACATGAATTTCGGGCGGTTTTTAAAGCTCTGTACAAACGAAACAAAAAATATTTTTACTATCCATTTTTTATCATTTGTTTATTGATACTTTAAGATTACATAAAAAATTAACTGAAAAATCTTAAAATTCACAAAGTTATGAACTGGCAAAGTGAGGGGTCCAAAAAAAAGGGTGTCCTGACGTGCATGATTTCAATTCTTCTGGTTATCTGAAGCAATAAAGCCGAACGCATTCTTAACATCTGAAGCAAAAAAGCCGAACGGATTCTTAATTAGTATAGATGCAGCTATAGCACGAACCTTGGCAAAAAAAAAAAAATATTTTTTCATAAAATGGCGGCCGTTTGAAAAAAATTTTCCTTTTTGACATGTTTTTTTGGCAATTCCGAATTTTTAAAAAATAGTAAAATTAAAAATTTTGATCTGACCCTGGTTGAGGCGATAGAAAAATGTATAAAGAACATTCACACCAAATTTCAAATAAATCAGTTCATTAGAACTTGAGATACTGTGCACGCCAACTCGAAAAATGTAGTTTTGAGAAAAACGCGTTTAAAGTTTTGAGACAAGTTTACTCGGACAACGTCTACCTTCTATTCTCAATGGACAAATGTGTTCCGGTCGGATCGGAGCAGATACCGCGTCACAGAAATGGCTGTAACTCATAAAATAATTAAAATTTTGAAAACTCCTTTTAAGGGCATATTCTTGAATATCTAAATTTTGGAAATATGAAAAAAATTTTTCGATTTTTTCAAATTTGTAGACTAGTATACCCCCTTAAGTTCTCAAATTTTAATCACCTCACATCAGTTGCAAACAGAATCTTGTCTGCGATTTGAAAAGTGCCAATGAATAATTTTGAATACTGGTACAATGTTTTAGATGTATAATAATATTTATGTAAATGTCGTATATATAAATTCCTTATCAAGTATGCCAATTTATGGGGATCACTAAACTACACTCAAAACAAATTTTTAACCCTTACAGCTGAGAACCGCACTAATACAAAACTTAGCACATCATTGGAGTTTGAATTGAATTTAGAATTGATATCTGTCATCATTTGCAATGAAATATCATAGCAAGGTTTACGGTTTTTCTGTACAAGCACTCTGACTAAACACAGAATGCAACGAATACAAATTGATTGATCGCTGCTGAAATACAAACCGTGTCATACTATACCTTACTATACTACAGCACTTACCAGACCGACTTACCTATTCATCGCATATATTAGGTTATTCGAAAATTTTCTTTCGTTTTATAAGGAAAAAATAGACGCACAGTGTTTTTTGTTTTATATTAATTTATTGAATTATGCACGAACATAATAATGAACATAATAATAGAACATAATAATAGAAATATAACGAAATAGATCATACCTAATTCAATAAAATAATATAAAACAGAGATTATTGTTCATCTATTATAATCTTATGAAACGAAAGAAACTTTTCGGAAAACCTAATAAATTATTTTCTTTGATATAACAGTCTATGTGAAATTAAAATACAATAAACTGTTCTTGAAACCTTTCTCACATTGGCAATGGCATGGATAGAATAAGAGAAAAAGGAATATCATTACCGCCTCTATTACCCGATACAAAACGATTTCATTTTCCATACAAATTAATCAAACCGGAAATTTTCGGTGAAAGCGAGTGCAATTAATTTATATTAAAACGATAATAAAACTACTACTATTATTGATGTTATGAAGCTATACAATTGAATTTGGCCTACTCGACTACTGCAGTTTGAACAGTGGTGGACATGAAGATTATTGACAAAACAGTATCCAGGATTAAACAAACAAATGAAAAGAATCATTGATGTGACCACGCGAGTATTATTTACATTTCAGTTTATCTAATGTAATTTTTAAACTGCCGATACTTATGCGAGTTTATATTTTTATAAACATAATTAAAGAACAGTGTTTGATCAGTTTCACTTATTAAATTCTAGCTTTTGTCCGCGACTTCGTTCACGTGAGCTACTAATATATGGAACTTTAACTTTAAGTAGATAATTTTTATGGATAAAATACAAAATGAATCGAGATGAAATCTAGCCTGTTTCTTTTTCTTGGACGCTAAATTATATAACACGGGTAGTTCTATCAAAATCCGTTCAGTAGCTTTCCTGAGTGTTTTGAGACTCTTTCTCTCCCGAGAGAGTTCATTCCTGATGTCGACTGCGCCATATCTTGAGTTGGAACTCATATTGGCTTCGCATTTAAGGTGTTCGCTTCTGTTCGTAAGTCAGCTCGTAAGTAACTTTCGGAATAACAATGTGTATGGCAGGTTTTCCGGAACAGATAAGGAACAACGTTTCGGTGCGAAACTCCATATAATAAATCAGTTGCCGAAAAGGAAAAAGAAAAAATATTTTGTTTGTTCACCAAAAAGAAGTAATGTGCTAAAACAACAAACACTTTTCTACTGTGAGATCTGTAAACGTAACCCCGATTTGCATCCCAATGAATGTTTTAAAAAATTTTACACATTACTCAATTATAATTAATATAAATATTGTAATCAAAATTATATTACTTCTGAAATGAATAAAGATTGTTTTCAATTTGCATCCCAATGAATGTTTTAAAAAATTCCACATATTACTTGATTATAATTAATATAGATATTGTAATCAAAATTATATTACTTCTGAGATGAATAAAGATTGTTTTGAATGACTTTAATATTATTATTTATACGTCATTGTAGCATTTAAAATCTGAAACTTAAAAACGTGCAAGTCGAAGTATGATGAGAATAAGTTGGAGTTGCCGATCGATATTCACAATTAAAAGTCGGAGCGTTAAGGATTAGAAAACTTATATGTGTAATTACTTATCGTTTACACAACTATTTGATAACGCAAGCTAAGCTATTTGTAAGATTATTAAAACTATTTGGACTAGTAAAACTATTTGGTAAGCACGACCTCTCACTACCATGGATCAGAGATGTCTCACTGTCCTCGTATATTTAATGGATGTCACCGACGACCGATCGTTCTCTTTCTATTCCGTCACGTTTCGCATTGGCTCTGATATTGCTTACTGTGGCTGCCAAATGCTCGAATTCCACAGTGTGGTTACCACATGCTCGCAACAGTATGTACAGATAATTGTATTGATATGTAAAGATGTATAAATAATTTTGCAAAGCGCGGTTCTACTTTCTTTGATAAGTCGGATACACAAAGTTAAATAGCTACATGTAGATTTTCACGACTCACTGTATGTCATTTAGAATCTAAGTTAAGTACATATATACATCTAGAACATGTATCAATGTACATCATGTTTATGTATGTCGCGTTTACATTATGATTAGGGTTAGGGGCGTGAAATTAGGGTTAGGGGCATGAAATAAATCTTCGTTTGGATTACACATTGTCGTTATGCAATAGAGAAGACATTGACTAGTACAAATATAATTATTAGTACAAGTGTAGATATTCCAGAATTGACAAGTAACTGCGGTGATTAGACACTAATGACAATGGTCCTAGGGTCGAAAACGAATCCGCGGTCAACGGGATAACAAATGTACTTTCTTCCAAAGTCTAAGTTGGACTCGATTTACTTGTCTACGATACAAGTATTACTAAACTAGCTCTTTGTTAAAACGTAAAATATTCACCAAGCGTAAAGACGCTATGTAACTCGCTAATGAGACCTCACGAGAGAATGAGTTTCCGTCGCCATAGTTGGAGGTTGGCTTTTATCTTCATAGTGAAATATATATTTGTGTGGAATGAGTTGAGGAGGACAAGAAAATTGGATAGATTTTTAGTGCCATGGGGTCATATCATCATATCATATACATAGATATATTCTTCTAAGATATATTCTTCGAGGTGCCCCATGTAAATGTCCATAATGACACTGTTGCTTCTGAAATTTGGCCATAGTATCCTGAAATATTCTCTTTCTTGTACATTCCTAAACATATTCTTTCTCCAATTTTATTCTTAGGATTCACCCGCCCTGAATATTATCAATCTTACATATTTGATAACCCTGACGGAACTGACGGACCCACCTATAAACTTTCTCAATTTCCACTTTTTCCTCCGTACTCTTCCTTCTCTATCCTTCTTCTACCGTTCCCTATTTATCATTCTCCACGCAAAACCGTAAAAAGGGGGATTCTCGGCGCAGAGGCAATAAATATCTTACGGCCGCTGAGGAAATTATCCAAACATACAACGCACCCGCACAAACACCCGTCCAAATAACTAGTCTTATCTATAGTTTGACTTACAATTGAAAACCTTGTTTTATAGAAAATCAAGTGCACAGTAGAATCATCTGGTGACCCCGACGTGACTCGTGTTAACACCAAATTTGTTTTTTTGAGTGCAATTTAGTATTCGGTATAATAACTTGATGATCAACGTGAATAGCATTCGATCGCGTTATCGTACCAGGGTTTTGTGGTTTTGTGGTCTTGTGGTTTTGTGCAGGTGAACATCAGTGGAATACCCTTAGACGTCTTTGGAATAACTACGGCAAGCACCAAATACGTCATGAGTGCTCTGTGCGCCCAACACGCAACGGAGGGAAAACCATTATTATGAACCCACTACCGACGGGACTACTCGAGAAATTAAAAACGGAACTGATCCACTGGCGTGTCACAAGAATAGGAAACACGTCGCTTTTCTAGAACAAGTAAAACTTAGCGACCAGAGATACTCGCAGTTTCTTTGGCACCTGCGTCGTCTCACTGGGTCGCAATTTTTTGAAGGATTAGTGTGAACCTTATGACTATATAAGTTGCTGACTAACATCCAGGTAATCCACACAGAAGGACGCAAATCTCGATACAGCGACTGAACTAGCAAACGTCATCGCCGAAACATTGTCACAATAGTATGTTGCTAAAACATCGTGTCGTCCAATGCAGGTAGTGAATGCAGATACCAACTCTCTTGAATCATTTCTACATTTCAATATAAAATTGTTGTGGTCCGTCAGGAGGTGCCCGATGATTACCTCCTTCCCGCCCCCGAAGAGACATGGAGCCTTGTTCGCGCTCGCGAGACTGCAACGATTGGAAAATCCTTTGGCTCTTTTCTCAAAAAAATGATCCACAACAATACAGAAATTCGCAATCTACGACAGAGAATTGCTTGCCATCTATATTGCAATCATACACTTTCGGCGCATAGTCGGAGAAACTGTTTTCAA